GCTCCAAAACCCAAAGAATTAACCCCAGCCCGGGATGGAGAAACACTCCACGGCTCCAAAACTCAAAGAATTAACCCCAGCCCGGGATGGAGAAACACTCCACGGCTCCAAAACCCAAAGAATTAACCCCAGCCCGGGAAGCAGAAACGCTCCCCGGCTCCAAAACCCAAAGAATTAACCCCAACCCGGGAAGGAGAAACACTCCCTGGCTCCAAAACCCAAAGAATTTTCCCCAGCCCAAGGTAAGGGACAGATAGATCTGCAAAGATTTCACACGACCCCCACTGAAGGATTTACTACACCTGCACGGGAAAAGTCGTTTCCACCGCACATTAGTTAAATCCTCTTAATTGCCCGGGCAGGGCAAAGCGCTTTCCCACCTTCAGCGAGCGGATTTTTACCCATCCAAGTAAGACGGCGCTACCGCTTCCGACACCGTGCGTGTTGGGCGATGTTCCTTACCCTCCTTCAGCCATTTCCTCTTCGGCTGCCGTCTCCATGGACTCTGTCTCTGGCTGCTCCCCACTGACTTTTTCTTGCTCGTCGATCCAGTCGGACACGGCTTTGAGCGCTCGCTCCGTGTGGGAGACCATGTTCTGAACGGCCTCCAGCTCCTCCTGCGTCGGGTAAACGGCCGAGTGTTTGGCCATCACGTGGCGGTCGTCGTTCACGAAAATACGCATCGGTCTCTGAAAAGGGATTTTGAAACAATTTTAGAGAGAGCCAAAAGGCGGATCTTCATCTCACGAGTCTGACACCTCCCGACCCTTACCATTTTTGCTTTTGAATGGCTGTCCAAGCGGTCAAAATGTGCTCCTTTAGATTCTTCCCCCAAAAAGACCGCACCGGCACCACACTTCTCTGGGATCTGAAAGCAACAGAAAGCCAGTTCGCAATGCTGTCAGGCCGGTCCGGCCCCGCAGCCCGCGCGGACGCAGGAGCAGAAATAGCTGGTATCGCTCATCGGGGGCAAGAAGAGAAATCGGGAGTACACAAACTCGCTCGTGAACGCCGAGTTTTCCACTCCCGGTGGAAAAGATAGGTTTTTTAAGACCCACGGTAACGACTACAGCCAGGTTTGTCAGGCAGCCCTCACCCCACCTCGCACGGGCTGCCTTCTGCGGGGGCATTAACCGCGCAGTTCTACCTGCCCGGCGGTTTAACGAGCACCACGCGCTCATTTAGCGCGCGGCCGAACACGAATGCTTCGAACCGCTCCCTCGCACGATCTCCCCAAGACGCACAGACGCCCTCAGGAGCCTGAGCTGCGCCCAAACGCTTCATCTTCCCCCCGACTTCTCGTTCGCAGCCACGAGGATGCGGCTTTGGCTCCTTATTGCCATTTTCCCTGTTAAAATTCGATTTTTTTCCCCCAAAGTTCCTGCTCATGTTTCTAAACCAAAGCGCACCAAAGGTAAAGCACTCCCCGACACGCGCTGGAGGTGCCTGCGCTGGGGGAACGGGCGGTCTTTACGCTGATATAATCCCAGGAGGCAAAGAATCGGGTCGTCATCACCTGGTTGCCCAGCGAGGCCACGGCTTTCCTTCATGCTTTGCCATATACCGCTTTTTTTACCCCAAATTCATTTTACGGCCCGCTTTGAATTAGGATCGATAGGAGACAAGTTCAGCAGCCGCACCGAAGTCTCTTCACTTCATCTCTTCGCTTCTCCCGCCATCAGGAGGGAAGAGTATAAACTCACACCACCAAATCTGGTTTTGAACCAAGCGCTCGCAAGCTCTAAAATTCAACAGATTAAGCCGAAATCGCCAACAGCCTCTTCCCGAACCAGCAGCCGTTTTCGAAGGGCACTAACCCGCTCCGACAGCCCCAGCCGGAGCAGCCAGCTCCTTTTGTTGAAATTCAAGCACTCTGTTCCTCTGCTTTAGCCAAAGGGCCTCTGAGCAGAGAAGCGTTTGTGTCCCGCGGGGACCGATTTACGCTCCGCGGGAGAAGACGGTTCCCAACGTCGCCTTGGGGCGCGCGCAGGCTTCTGGTAAGAACTTCCACGAGCCACCTCGGTGCCCACTGGGATCGACTCTTCGGCACCAGCGATGCCGCTTCTCACGCGACTAGCGGAAGACCCGGCAGTTGCTTGATTCACGGTCATTAATTTGAGCAAACACCTTTAATAAAACTTTCAATTTACCTCTCCCTGAAACGGGCTGACTCCATTCCTGCAAACACCCGATGTTCCGTGGGAACTGCAGGAACGGGTCGTTTACAAGCCTTGGCACAAGGAAGAGCCTCAACACCCGAAGGTGATGGAGATGATGGAGATGAAGGTCATCCTCATCTGCACCCCCCACTTCCTTCACTTCATTTCACAGCCAAGTACAGGGCAAACCTGCCCGGTACCTACGGCTTGCCGAAACACTGCCAGAGAAAGTCAATCACGCCTCAATTATTTCAGAGCTCACAACCAAATCCCGCTTCCCCGAGACTCCTTCCGTTCGGAATGCATTTTGCTCGAAACGAATCCCAGACTGGTGAGGGTTGGAAGGTCCCT